AAGTTGAACATCTCGACCCGTCTCATGATAGCTGTCGTTCGTATCCTTGTTGTTCTTTCTGTGATGATCTATGCAGCGAAAGGAAGGGTCAAGCCATATCTATTTTTCAACGTTCTCACTTCGTACAGCTTCAGTTTCAGACAGACGTAGGTTTAAAAGTTTCATGTTCGACTGCATTCCCATTGAACTTATGAAATTCTCGGTGTTTACAGACGTCTGCTCTTGCTCGCCTTTGGGTTGATTTTGCTAAACTTTTCACTTCGTGGTTGCGCCCGTTTCCTTGCTGCAATCGGGATGCGCGCATTCTCCCTGTTCCATCCTGTCACTATTGTACCGGCCGTTGGGTATGCTATCATCGCTTTTATTTGCAACCAGAGAATCTGCGGAATTGCAAATGTAAGTCGATTACTTGTCATAATGCTGTACAGTTAGTTACAAATTAAAGCAGGCTATCGGAGTTGGGAGAGGGGGGAGGGTTTACACTGCGACGTAGTCCTGTAGCTACGCACAGCCCTAACTAAACTGCTCTAATCGCGCCAATTTTCTGTTTTTCTCTGTGCTCTCACCTCTGCATGACATTCTCTGACCGCTGTGACCTTACGCTTTTCAACTTTTCGGGCAAGTTAGGTGACATCCTGGAGTCTCCCCCACAGAAGCTCATTCTGTGGTTCGCAACTTCCTTTTTGCATATTTCCACCCTGTCTCGTCAGTCGAGGTCCCCTATTTCTCTGCACTGTGGCCTTTCGCACCAGGATCTCCATCTAAAGTTTTAGCACGACCCCCACAGCCATAGTCCTCTTTTTGCCTGCGCGCTAGCCTCTCGCACCAGGACCCTCACCGAGGCTCCCAGGTGTCACGTGACCGTAGGTCTGCTCGTCTGCGCTTTCTCACTGATATAGTAATCCCTTCGTCAAGTCTCGGTCGGAAGATATGCTGTTTAGAGATAATCTTGGTAAGAGGCTCAGCCTTTGAGACCGATAGATGGCTAGACTGGGAGTACACAGTCTCGCCCTCCTCACAGCGCCAACCCCAATAACACCTCTAGACCTTATGTGGAATGTTTGCTGCCGGAAAGTACGTACAGTTCAGTAATCGTCTGAAGTTGTGTTTCAGTTCCTTGCAAGGTTGGGTCTTCGCTGGAGCTGCGATCAATGGGGAAGAAAAACCCGGCCATTCGACGACTGGTACATCTGTATGATTTGGCTGGCAGTAGGAGCCTATCGTGGGTATCAGTTTGTACGCCAAAAATCCTACGATAAATGCGACGAAGTGTAAGATAGCAAATTTCGATCATTTTATTTTATAAAGATATTTCGGGGCAGTTCGACGACGGGGTGGGGTGCATTTTGCACTTTTGCTACTTCAAATCGACGTGCCGACCCATCTAGATAGCCTTTGTTGACAGGCTCTACCTTGGCGGCTTGACGAGCTTGCTCCAGCTTCACAAGAGTTCACAGGTTTCACCAGAGTGAGACTTGTAAACCGGAACTAGTGAAGCAACGAAAGTGCAAAATGCCCCCCCCCCCCCGGCGCCGAACTGAGCCAGTATTTCCTCAACAGTGAAAAGGTTCTTTTTCAGTGTCGACTCGATGCCGCCTGTTGCCAACGGATTCTGTATAGAGCAGTCACTTGTTGTTTTTCATATGTCGCTCAGTAAAGCGGTAAACGATTGCGTAAAGAACGCAATAGTTACTGGTCTTACTAATTATTCTGATCACAGGAACCAATACTGGATATTGATGACGATCATGGGGATCCTGATGATGAGTTACGAGTCAGGAATGATGAGGTACTTACCCACAGATACTTGGAATTTATGTTGCTTCAGAATACCATTATTCTTCACTTATCATAGGTTGATCGTATACTGACTCTGTACATGTGTGCAACAATGTGGCACGAGACGGCAACGGAAATGGCGCAAATGTTACGCAGTATACTAAAGTAAGTGGACCTCTATTCTTTGTTGATTTCTGAGACCTAGAGCCTGTCTAGGGTATCAGGTTGTGTCCAGGTTCAAGATCTATGATAATATCCAGTTGTTAGGGATTAACCATTTTGATTTACAGACTGGACGAGGAGCACGCACGAAGGCTAGGGTCTAAGAAAGCGGACCAGTTACGTTTCAGACTTGAAGGTGTCCTTTTCTTTTCTTCAGTTCCAGAACGTTAGCCGGTTGGAGGGAAAGCACATCTGATCGTCGTTGTGCAGCTGGGTCCAAGACTCCTTCATTCGGAGGTTATCTATCATTCTGCAGGTCACATATTTTTCGATGATGCATGGGAAGATCGGACAGAATTAGACATCACAAAACGGGTTCCCAACGACTTCTTCCGTACATTCTTCGAGACACTGAGTGAGCTGACTGGGTGAGGATGCGTTAATCGTTCTAAGTATTTGGGAAATTCCTTTAGCAGTTTTATGCCAGTGAACTGATAAAGTATTTGCCGTTGAATAATCTTTTTTTCATGTGGCAGGCATTCCATTCCATTGACAATTATAAGGGCTTATTAAATGTGGTAAGGCCCAACAATGAATTGTGGGACAGCCGTTGTACAAGTCAGTGTTCTTTTCCTCTCAGGCGAATGTGGTACCACTTTACTGTCGCCGAGTGTAGAAGGCTTGGCTGGACTAGGCGGGGACCGATTGGAGATTTGAACCCTCGCCAGCGCGCGTGCCAAACGTGTCGCTTGCCCCTCCGCACTGTCGCCTCAATATTATGTAAAATCTATTATATCAATATCCTCACAATCAGAAATGAGCTCGCCCCGTTTGCTGACCTGTGTGGGCTTCAGTTGCCATCGGCTTCGAGTCAAGGGGCTAGGTCAGCTGAAGCCACCCACGGGGAGTCAGTTTAGCGGTGGTCTCAAGCAAAACCTGCCGTACATTCAAGGTGAGTCGTATTGTGGTTGTGACCTATGACAGTTTCTGGACCCTTCTGGTCTGGGACGAACCTTTCTGATACGAGGATTGTAGTGATGTACGGGGAGTAGTTTCACTCTTTTGATTTTTCCAGGCTCTGACGAAGGCGATAAGGCCGAAACGTTAGCCAATAAAACTGTTATATCATCTTGGTTACGGCTACAGCAACACCCCAAAGAAAACCTCACATATGCCAAGATTCATCGAGGGTCGAACGTGGACGCTCATGGAAGTTTCTATACCATCATACGAGCACCGCGTTTCGAGGAGCCTACTGGGGCTCTCACTAAGGTCCTAAACAGGCTCCGAGGAAACATGGTACTTGAAATAGGCGGACGGACGTGGTGTAGTAACAAGTGGGACGCTTACCACTAACGCTGTCCAACTTCTACTCTGTAGATTGGTACCAGATTCATCTGGGCGGATAAGAACACTGGTTTGAACACATTGTATAGGCCGCGTCGCATTCGATAAGACGCTGTGATGCTGAATGGAAGTGAGTGCGTGTCGCATCCCAGGGAGAGATTAATCCTATTCTTTATCCTTTGTTTTTATTCCTGTTTCCAATTAGACACTTCTGAAAATTCAAAGTGTGTGATCCGTCCTAGAGTCTTTACTGACAGCTGTTCAGTGGTCTTTATATTCTAGAGAGTTCGTTGATGAATCTGGATCGTTAATGTCAAGAATACTGGTGAATACTCCCTACGGTGGCAGGCTGGTTGTGAAACTACCAGCCGGTACCCTACTGTTTGTCCACCTCAAGGATAAGAAGCTAATCCGACATAAGAAGAGATGGAGCCAGGTTGGTTTCTCTTAGGGTATTACTACTATTAACTGATGTAAAAACGTAGTCAGAGAAGAACTGGATTAGAAGTTAAATTTTAAGGTTATGTATATGTACTACTTGCTTGGTCATCGTATCATGGATTCACCGTTGAGCATTGAAGATCGTCAACAAATGGCCGACAATACGTTCATTCTTGCTATTGATGGGGATTCCAAATTCGAGCCAGAGGTATAGTCGTTTTCGCCGGGGCGTGTCAGGGGGCTAAGTTTGGCGCGGCGCCAGCCCGTTTTCCGCCAATTGTTGGCACTTGCAACAAGCCTCAACAGTTGGAGAACGGGCTGGCGCTGCGGCGAATTCAGGTTCCGTGACATGCCCAAACATCCGTAACAAACATGACTGTACGTCACTGTTGATTTAGGCTGTAATGCGTCTGTTGAATCTCATGAATACCAAGAGTGACATCGGATGTGCTTGCGGTCGTATTCATCCTATTGGCTCAGGTATAACTACACAATTCTTGCGCAATTCTGTTCGCCCACATCATTTTGTGATGCTGCAGTCAAGGAGGGGCACTTAGCCTCACCCTCTCTGAATGGACTTTTGTGCTATTCTATGGCCAAGTGCAGGGAAACAAGGAACTTACTAACTCGGCGATATGGGCGGATCTAGTCCACCTCCCAACTTCAGTAGCGCCCTGTATCCTCTATTGTTGCTTTCAGCTAGGTAAATTATTGG